TCAAATACTTTGGCCACCTAATGAGAAGGAGGGACTCACAGGAGAAGAGCCTAATGCTGGGAACGATGGAGGGCAAAAGAAGAAGGGACGACAGAGAATGAGGTGGCTGGATGGAGTCACTGAAGCAGTAGGTGAGAGATTAAATGGACTCCAGAGGATGGTAGAGGACAGGAAGGCCTGGAGGAATGTTGTCCATGGAGTCGTGATGGGTTGGATACGACTTCGCAACTAACAACAACAAAAATCCACTGGTTGTTCTTTGTGATTTGGCTACTCAGGCTCAATTCCTTTGTAACGGAGAACAATGGTTTTGAGTTGGTGGTGAGGAGGAAGCACTGCTGGCATCTGAGTTATATTTTTGTGCCACTCGCTTTAAGACTGAAGGCTCAAAGTTGATGAAAAACAGAATGGCTAGAGATGTAGGGAGATATAGAAACAGCATGTGCAGGAGTTCAAAGGGGCTACAACAGGATTTATTTCTTTTTTTAATTGAAACCGATTTATATCAGTTGGCTTTTCATCTCACAGATGCAACTCCAGGCAGCAAACTGGGATTTCAGAAAATATAAGTACAGCATATACTGCAGCAATAATAGATAACATCTTACCCAGTGCCTCAATCTATGGCGTCTCATGGAGTTGAAAGCTAGTGTACTGTTTGATGTTAAAGACTCTAAAATTCTTGTCTGTAATTTTCATGTAACCACATACTGTACCTGATAGAAGCCTGCTTTCTAAGTTTCCCTACACAACTGCCACCCATTTGAGAGGCGTATCAACAAGTGAATTAAAATCTTATTTAATCACTACTTCCTATCCATACCTTTTTATTTTGGAAAAAAAATGATTTCTTCTAAGCCACTGTATGTACGTTAATTCCGCTGAGTGTATATTTGCCGTTCCTTTTCTTAGAACAAACATCTTTTATTAACTGTTAGGAAATGTGGGTGGAAACAGATTCACAACAGCACTGATCTCCAGTCAATTAGAATTGCACAGACCAAAATGCCTGGATCAGATCTGCCCCAACTTCGTTCTGCATGACCTTGACTCAAATGTGGAGAGCTCACTTCCTGGTAGACTTCAGCGTGTGTGAAGCACTAAGACTTCTGTACCCAGAAAGAGTGTCAGCAATTAACACTGACGTTGAAATGCTCCGGTTAGGGCATTCCTAGCAGCACCTATCAGGGATTTCCCCAAGTTATTTCCCCATACCAACAAACACGTTTGGCCAGTAAATGCACTGATTTTGTTAGCTTTATCAGGTAGATGAGACAGGAAACACAACCAGATGAGTTAATTCTACTTCATTGTAAAGCTACTGTAATTTAAAGCATCTTGCAAGTCTGAAAGTACATTTTTTCTACTATCTCAGCAGTCCCAACCTTTCTGACTGGGGAGGAGGAGAACTGGGCCACATGAGTGTGCATGCAGCCCCTATGGGCTAGCGCCGTGATGGTGAACCTATGGCACACATGCCACAGGTGGCACATGGAGCCCTCTCTGTGGGCATACAAGCTATTGCCCCACCTCAGCTTCACCGCACATGCATGCGTGCCTCCCACCAGCCAGCTGATTTTCAGGTCTCTGCTGTGCATGCGCAGGGAGAGGGGTGCATGTTCAAAATGTGCATGCATGTGCAGTGGCAGCAGGGGGATCGTGCATGCATGCAGGGGGCATGGGGAGCGTGGCGGGTGCGACATACCCCCATGCCCCGTTTTTGGTCCCAGGAGGCTTCAGGTCCAAAACGGGGCATGGGGGGGGTCACACACGCAGTGTAGGGGCACAGGAAGCACAGGGGTTTTTACACGCGCATGCACATTGCATTATGGGTATGGGCACACGCATGCGTGCTTTCAGCACATGATGACAAAAAGGTTACCCATCACTGGGCTAGCGTGAGCGGCAGGCTAACAGGCATGTGCGCGAGTGCCCATCAGCCCACTATTCCTGCAAGTTGAGCTGCATGCCTGTGTACGCGCTAGCCAGCCACTCATGTGGCCCAATTCTGAATAGGACAAGGCCTGGTAGTGGGCTGTGGCCTGGGAGTTGGGGATCCCTGTGCTGTCTCCTTTGCAGGGAGAACTAGGGAAGGTCCCTTCTGAGCTTTTTGCTCTGCCCACTATCCAGTGTGGGCTATGCTGTCTCTTATCTGACCGTCCCCTGGGCAACATCTCTTCACCTGGTCTCCCAAGGCCTTTCCCACACACACCAGGGTGGAGCTGGATATGACATAGCCTGTGTCAATGCAACAATGTGGGACACTAATTTTGTTGTTGCTGCTTCACACTCACTCTTAATGTTAGGAGAAATTCATCAAAGTCAATTGTTCCGTTCCCATCTTTATCGAAGGTTTGGAAAATCTTTTCGGCTTCGGCTTTGTCGATCAGCACAGCGTAATCATGGAGCCCTTTCGTGAACTCTTTGAAATCAAGGGTCCTGCTTTTGTCGTCATCCATGATGCGGAAAGCCCTGAAGAAAAGAAGGTTGACTGTAAAGAAAAGAGTTACAAAGATCAAAGAGGAAGAGAAATAGGACAATGATGTACAAATCTAGGAAAGAAGCCTTTAAGGAAAACAACAAGAGTGTTGCTTCTGAGATACAGTCTATCAAGATGTTCGGCTGCGTACAGAACGGGTGTTCCCAGCTTCGGGTGCTAAATATTATACAGTTTGAATGTTTATGTTACTTCTATAGCAACTAATTTGAGCAACTCGTACATAACCAAGCCCCGTCTTTTCCTGGTATAGAATGGTATTTCTACTCTTAATCAAAGAGGAAGTATGTGCAGATATAGTAAACATGGGTCAACCTACACATCCTTGAATTGGGCTTGAATGGCATTTGGATAGTTACATGCACATGTATGAAAAGCCTAACTAGCAATGAACAAATTGAAAAATCAGTTGAAATAAGATCGATGTGGCACGAACAAATGATCCATTTGGAGTATTCAGGTACATGTGGCTATAATGGCTTTTCCCTTGAAAAGTTAGATCAGCAATCCTGGATTTTTTTTTTCTTTTCTTTTAATGACTCTGTAATCCCTTTTATTGGGGTGGAGTCAGGGCAACTGAATGGAGCTGAGCATTTACTGGTGGGATGCCCTTCCAGACACCTACATGAAGCTCACAGCAGATATTTTTTCTTGGTGCTCAGAGAGAGAGAAATATCTGCCACTACCGAGGATCGAACTCAGCCTTCTTGATTGCGAGGTGAGAGCTGCTCAGATCAGCAATTCTGAATGTGAGTGTATATATTAAAGCGACTGTTATTTCTAATTTTTACACCCTCTTGGCTTGAACTACTTTTCGCTACTCTTCCTGAGGACCTAATTGCAATCTTCCTGGACAAAGACTGCTTGGGCAAATTATCTTTGAACTGGTGACATCTGTTTTAGCTGACTACTAGATGGGTCTACTAGAACATAAGCAGTGCCCTGCTAGATTAGAATTCCAGCCCATCAGAATCAGAATAGAGCTGGAAGGGACCTTGGAGGTCTTTTAGTCCTGCTCCCTGCTCAAGAAGGAGATCCTATACCAGCAATGGCGAACCTTTTTTGGCTCGCATGCCATAAGCGAGGGGAGTGCAGGGGTGTGTGTGTGCGTGGGCGTGCCACATCCATAATGCAATGCACGACTCCCCCCCAGCCCGCATGCACACATGACAGGCGTGACCCCCCCAATTTTTGCATGTTTTTTTCACCCTCCCCAGGCTCCAGAGACTTTATAGGAGCATGAGGAGGGCAAAAACAGCCTCCCCCACCCGGAAGCCCTCCAGAGGCTTCAGGAGCTTCCCTGAAGCCCCCGAAGGGCAAAAAATGACCCTATGAGTAAACCGGAAGTCATTTCCGGGTTGCTTGTGGGGCTGATTTTAGCCCTCTGGAGCATTTAGGAGCCCTTAGGAGGTTTCCCTTTTGTCCGGAAGACAAAAAACGACCCTACAAGCCAGGGGTGGGTTTCAACCGGTTCGCGGCAGTCCCTGTGAACCGGTTGGTCGGCGAACCTGGAAGTAACCGGTTGGAACGGGGCGAGAAACCCACCCCTGCTACAAGCAAACCAGAAGTCACTTGGAAGTCGCGTGTGCGCTGGCCAGCTGACAGGGTAATGCCTCGCATGTCCTGAAAAATGGCTCCGCGTGCCACCTGTGGCATGCGTGCCATAGGTTCGCCATCCCGGTCCTATACCATTTCAGACAAGTGACTGTCCAGTCTCTTCTTAAAAACCTCCAGTGATGAAGCACCNGAGGGAGATAGAGAACCGAGCTTTACCGGTATTCCTGCATGTTTAGATAGCTTTTCTGAGTGTGAATGTATTCCAGATCAATTTCTTTATCAGGTGTGAAACTCAGCAATTCATTTTCCTTGTCTAACTCAGCCAGCACAAGACTGTGGGTCCTGAAATAAGAATCAAGGCAGAAATAAAAATTGGTTTTTCATGTATTAATAGGAAGGAGAGAAGAAAACAAGAGAGGTTTCTCTAATGCAGGGTGCTGTTTTAAAGATTGATCTTTTTTTTCTTGCGGGCTAACAATATTTTTTAAAAAGAAAATTAATTATTAATTATTATTTTTATAACTCAAGGTAGAGAAGGTACCTAATATTCCTTCCTTTCTTATTTTCCCCAGAATAACAGCTCTATAAAGTGACCAGAGTTCAGAGAAAGTGATTGGCCCAAAGTCATCCAGGAGCCTTTCATACTTAAGATGTGACTAGAACTCACCATCTCCTGGTGATTGGTCCAAAGTTAACCAGTCAACTTTCATGCCTAAGATGGGACTAGAACTTACAATCTCCTGATGATTGGCTCAAAGACACCCAGTTAACTTTGATGCCAAAAGCGGGACTAGAACTCATTGTCATCTGGTAATTGGATTAAAGTCACTAATAATTGTGCTTAAAACAAGACTAGAAATCACAGTCACCCGGTGATTGGCTCAGAATCGGCTTTTATACTTAAGGTGGGACTAGAACTCACAGCTTTTCGGTTTCTGCCTGGGATCTTTCCAGAACGTCATCAGCATATCTGGGAGAGATTGGCCTGACTGTCATTCTTGATATCTGCATCTCTGTCACCCCCAAAAAAAGAAACAAAGAGAAAAGGATGGAATGACCGCCATGTTCTTGAATCTCTATAGACTTCCCATCATTCAACAAAGACATCGTGTTGGAAGAAATATCCATCTGGTTCAGTTCCAAGCAAGCAAGAAAGGCACTGGAGACAAAATGGAAACTGGAGGCTGATTGGAAAGTGGGTCCATTTATTGATGAAGCAGAACCACCAACCACATGTGATTTTAGAGACAGCTGACCACATGGAGTTGAGAGTGGGGGGTATTTATATACCTTCTCTTCGGTTTGCACTTGAGCTTCCTGTTCCTGTGCAAGAGCATGTATTATATTGGCTGTCGTCAGACTCCCATGCAGGGATGGGATTCAGCCGGTTCGGACCAGTTCGGGTGAACCGGTAGCTCCAACGATCAGCTGGGAGCAAATGGTTCGCTCCAACGAGCAGGTTGTCCCACTCACCTGCCCCGGCACTTTACTTATCCATATCTTCTCAGATGATTCGCGCAGCAGAGCTGATTGCCGCACCTCAGCTGTGTTACCCCCCAGAAGTAACGTGGAAGGTGAATTTTACTAAAACTGCATGCACGCAAAACACACGATCACCAAACTGGTTCTTAAACCAGCAGGATCCCACCACTGCTCCCATGATACCGTGTACAAATTCTAGGAGTTTGTCTGAGCTACGTTTGTTTGAAGTTTGGGCTGATGCAATGAAGGGCTTGTTGGGCAATTCCTATTGTGGCTGAGGGCTAGTCCTACCTTTGTTGAGGGTATTTGCTATGAATAGACCTAGCTATCTGTCAGGCCTGCAGCCATATTCCTCTTGGATCGTTGGCCTGCCCCACTTTCTATTAGTCTACTATGCTTTTTCTGTTGTAGGAAAATGGGAAGGAGGATTGTACGGAGTTAGATGCTATGTAGCCAAAACAAAATTCCTTCTAGAAAACCAAAGTCATCCTTTGTCTCTGCACCTCTGCACCACTGTTCCCTATAAGCCGCGCGGCCGCGCACGTGGCAACA